GGCTATGCCGAAAGCTGCTATCCCTCAAAGCCTCATCCTCTGGTGGGACTACACCTCTACAACCTTAGCTTTCTCAAAGTTGCTATCCTCCATAGCCTCGTCCTCTAGTGGGATACTATCCCCCAGAGCCTTGTCCTCTAGTGGGATGACGCCTCTTCCATTTGAACTTTCCCAAAGCGGCAACCACCCAAGTCCATGAGTGATCCAGTAGCCAACGAATTATATAAATATTCAGACCTAGACTTGAGAGACCATTATTATGCCTCCTCAGCAGAATACACTTTAGCGTGCATTATGCCTATGCGGAGCCATGGTCAGGTGGACTAACTGAAGCGTTACGTGATATTGTCCGAGGCGATGCAGGCTGACCAGAGCGTTACTATCCAAAGTGGTATCAACCGAGGCGTTACAATGGAAGGAGTGCCTCTTCGATGCCTCGACTCAAGATATGAATCTTTTGGTCAAATGCTTGTCCATGAGATCTTTATGAATGATGTACATGATATCTCTATAACATGTGTCAACTCCAAGTCAGAAAAATTAAATGCTCGTCCACCTAGAAAATGATTGATGGATGCCTATTCCCGTATCCGATAATTTAAAATTGAAATTGACACAATATTGAGAAGTGACCAACTGGCTAAACGCCTATGGTCAATTTTTTATTGGACCTCTCGTGTTTAATATAATGCACTAAATCCAAATGGATATAGATAAGATATCAGATAATAGATAAACTTTGATGACAATCACTAACCCAGATTTTATCTCTTATCTCTCTTTCTCAATTCATATTATTTAGCCTAGACATAACAAAAAAATGTTTCTCGATCCAATTTGTTAATAAAAACATATGTTTTTAATTAAATCCTACATAAGTAGAAATACTAAATTATAGCAATTTAAGCAAAATTCAATGAAATTCAAAATCACGTTTTCTTTGAGGAGTGCCACGTAGCTATATCTCCAGCATCCTATGTGTTTGTACCTAAAAAACTAATAAACTTCTTACAATAACTATTAATTTCCCATCTATGTCATCAACCAATAATGCTCCTCTTCTATTGATTTGACCAGTCAAACTCCCTTGCTGACATGTCACTCCTTCACTAGCCAGTCAAACATTTTGAATTCTCAAAATGGACGACGCCCGGCCCAATTTCATAGATTCATGCAATTCCAATTATATCTAATAGATTTGTTTGTAGTGTTGATGCTTTTGTTTCAACCATTTTGTAATCAGACAGTTTGTTCCCATTTTGTAGCATTCATTTTATGGATCTGTAATGTCTTTTCGTTTCCTATAGTGTTCCTGTAATGTGTATCAGTTCGCTAGTAAAATGGCCTTGGACGTGGCTGCAAGTAAGTTGGTATAATATGTTTAATATGTTTCAAATTTGAGTTTGTTTCAATTCCAAAATTCCAGCAACTTCTTGTGATTATTCAATACCAAAATCAATACAATCCCAATGTACAATTGAAATGATAGACTAGAACACAAAATGTATTTCCATTTCGTGCCAACACTATAATTACGTAAGAGGTTTTAAAAAAAGTGTTTAGATAACTAAACACACTATCACATTTGGTGTATCCGACATCTCAGTCCAATCATTCAAATTAAGGGACTGTCCCAAAATAACAAAAGCATCACAACCTCGATCATTTTCAACAATCATCAACAATTTGCTGATCCTCAGTTGCACTTGCACTGGTATGTAGTACGTTCTTCACTTTGTGGAACCTTTTGCTGTGTCCTTTTACTCTGCACACTGAACATGTCATAAACACCATACCCTTTTTTTTTACTGACACTGTTGATTGTGATCGTGCTTGTGATTAAGAGGGTTCATTCTCTTTTCTTTGTTTCCTTCCTTTTGTAGCAACGTACCAAGGTGGAGGCTTGACATGTGATTGTTCAGTTTCAAGCCACAATTCTTTGCCGTTCATCGGATTTATAATGTGTTCATATGGCTCATGTAGCTGTCAACTGTAAACCGTTCTGACACGCAATCATTTATCTCATGTTCTTTGTCTAAGATGCAGGTAATGGCATACAAACACGGGACTCCTGATATTTCCCATCTTCGACAAGCACAAATTTTGCTGTCCATGTCAACTACGTATTCACCATTTGGACACTCCACTTGATATTGATTTATCCCATTCCACCGCAAGATGCATTCATGGGCCGCAACAACATTTTTTTCCAGAATCTTTTAGGTTCTTGAACATATTGAGTTGTAGTTTCTCATTTTGTCCCGCTTCATTTGAACTCTATGCATCAACTTCATTTGAATGCCAATCAACATCGTTAGACTTGATTTATCTCTTTCCTCAAGAATAAATTTGTTTGCACTCGCACAGGTTAGTAAGGAGCATTTCGCACTTTGCTTGTTCAGAAAAGTGAGTCCTACTCCACTCAGACAATGGTTTGGCCTTCAGCCATCCATCGGCCGTCGAATTAGCAGTTTCAATATTTGACTTCCAGTATTTAAACAAAGCCAAATGACTTGATTTTGTAGCACCCCGCAAACAATCTTTTAAGTACTTTCCCGTGAATTCGCTTCGAAAAAAATTATGATACATATGCTTAACACAATACCTACGTTCATGTTCTGCTTTCGGGAATAGATCGACAACAACATTAACTAGTCCTTTTTGTCTATTACTCATGAAGGTTACGAACAACCAGTTCTCTATAGAAAGGTACTCTGATAACAATGTAAGAAACCAACACCACGAACTAGTGTTTTCTTTCTCAACTACTGCATATGAAATAGGATATATGCAATCATTGACATCAACCCCAATTGCTGCCAGCAACTGATCACAATATTTTCCTTTCAAAAAACATCCTTCTATACTCACAAAACATCGACAACCCAGTAAGAATCCTCTCTTACATGCCTCAATGCAAATGTAGATACCTAAGTATATTATCCACCTGAGAGATGATCACAGTTAAACCCAAATTTGTTCTTCTCAATTTAGCACTATAACGCCATAACAAAGCAAATTGTTCTTTATCGCTATGTTCTATTAAAACCTTAGCGCACTTTCGCGAATTACAAGCAAGTACCTTAGTAATGTGCAAACAAAATCCTTTCTCACTGTAGTTCTAAAATGTTTTGTCTTCCATTCAGGATCAACTTTGAAGTCCTCCAAATAATATTCCGCAAGCCATTTATAATTTGCATACTTATTCGTCCGAACATTAAAATAAGTGTGTTTCGGATCATACATTTTTATGTGAACCGTGTCTCGACCCTGTAACTTGGACGCCCACAACTTCCATCGGCATCCATCTTTACAAAAACAATGAACCCAATCTTTATCGTTTTGTTTGAAGATAGGTTTAACCCGATTGAACACTGCATAATTCCTAACAACAGATTTCAGCTGTCAAACGAAGCAAAAAGTAAACCAACCTCAAGATGTGGATTCTTCTTTTCATTTCCATCATAATATTCAAGGTAATTCAATCGACCTAAATTATCCTCCGAATCTGAACCACTACCGAATTTTAATTTCTCTGAAGATGCATATGAAAAACTATGTAATTCAAGGGCTTCTTCATACTCCACCATAGTATGCATATCACACTACGATCAAACAGATTTTCATCATCATCATACACATCATAGTCCGAGTCATTGAAGTCTGAGTCATCTACATTTGTATTAAAAATTACATAAGTTAAGACTCCAGTAATATGCAATAAATGATACTATCCAATTGAAAAAAATAAATCATTTAAAATACTACAACCAATTGAATCAGCAGTAGATGGAGGTTATTTTTTTTTCTAACCTGTTGATTGTTTCTCAACATCTGCCATTTCGGTACAAACGGAAGGGAGGCGATTGCAAGTTAGTCGAACGTTCACTACATGTTTGCAATGGAGGTCGGCCCTCGATCGGAAGTTCTTCAAAGGTTCCCAATGTAGGTTCGCTGAAGGTCGCATATTTAGGCAACTGCAGGTTCGGATTTTTAGGGTTCTTGAGCTTGGAGGTTTTGTGGTTCTTGCAGTCACAATTTGCGGGATCTTGGCTCACGATTAGGAGCTCTGCATCGTCGACTTGCAGAGTCGTCTCTCAATTTTCTAGCCGGGCATTTGCCATCAACAGGAGAGAGGGGTTTTGGGTTTTCAATTGGAGGGAAATGGAAATGGGTAATCGCTATTGGCAATTGGGGGAGAATGGGGTCAAGGGTTTGACTTTGGGTTTTTGTTTTTAAAATTTGTTTTTTTTTTAAGGTAAAAAACGTGTTTGAAATTTTACACATCACTAGCACTTATATGATTTGGCTATCATTTAAACAAACGGCCCCGTCGTGAGCTCCATCAACCACATCACCATCTCAGTTAAGTTTTTTACTGACTATTGTTCGATGATGTATGGGAAAGCAATATCAAAAGTTCAGTAATTCATGACTTTATTTTTTAAGTTTAGTGACCTGCTGGAAACTTTAGGTAAAGTTCAATGATGTTTAGAGTAATTAACTCACTATTTTCACGACACAAATTTTTACTCAGAAGCCCCCCAAGAAATGGCTCTAATACTAGATTTGTTGGGTATTTTGACTCAAAGACCACAAACAATATAAAACGAGTCAAACACAATGCGAAAAAGTAAAAGACACAAACCTTGTTCACCCAGCTCAGCCAGAAATGGCTTAATCTGGCAGCCTCAAGATTAGGTCAATCCACTATGTGCAAACTACCTCTCAGAGAAAGCAAAGTACTAAGAACCACTCAGAGATCAATTTGTTCATCAATCGTTGAAGGATCTCCAAAACTGGACACAACTCTCCTCTCACAATATCCCCAAAACAAACTACAACAGATAGCCAATTCTACGGAATGAAACTAAAAGAGGATAAAAAGTTTCAAACAAATGGGTTCTAAACCTGATTATACAATCGACAAAATTCAGCCCAAATCAGCGTTTACATACATGGACAATTGAATCATACCATGGAAAATGTGAAGCCAAGAGTAGAGAGCATCATAGAGAAAATTCTTTTGCTGAAATCAGTTAAAAAAGGTTAATGTACAGTACAACAAATTTCCCATCCACACATCTTCATTTGTTTTCTGTCGAATCAAGACATACTAAGAATATCCGAAACTATATAATTTTGCTCGACGCCAATTCTACAGAATGAAACTGAGATAAACGTTCAAATTTCGCCTAGGAACTCTTTTAATAGTCACTGTAGAGTGGGTTTACCACAGTTTATAAGTTACCTAGCATACAAATCAATTTCTCTGGGAGAGAACGTACAATCATTGCATTTTGGTGGATGGGCTTTAGAAATTGTCTTTATCTTCGTCTTTCATAGAGTTGGGAATATCGTCAAAGCCAGAGCCAGGAGCGAGCTCATTGAGATCAAGAAAATGCTTTTTCGGTACACCAACTTTGTCTCGATCTGTCTCATTTGATTTTTCTGGTGGATGCGTTTGCTCATCATTTGTCTCAGGATGCTCCTCAGCAGGCTGATCAACATGCATCTCAAGCTTTTCGTTGCTCGAATCTGAATCTCGACTTCCTGTTGAGAACCCTTCATTATCACTAGCAGTTGGGTGCTCGTCTAATGCATTTGACTTCTCAGGTTTCATTAATTCAGTTTCTGATTCAGACATCTCAATCTGTCTATAATCAATACGAGTTCTGGTTGCCCTTTTACTGCGTCTGAGAATGAAACTAAAAGAGGATAAAAAGTTTCAAACGAATGAGTTCTAAACATGATTATACAATCGACAAAACTCAGCCCAAATCAGCGTTTACATACATGGACAATTGAATCATACCATGGAAAATGTGAAGCCAAGAGTAGAGAGCATCATAGAGAAAATTCTTTTGCTGAAATCAGTTAAAAAAGGTTAATGTACAGTACAACAAATTTCCCATCCACACATCTTCATTTGTTTTCTGTCGAATCAAGACATACTAAGAATATCCGAAACTATATAATTTTGCTCGACGCCAATTCTACAGAATGAAACTGAGATAAACGTTCAAATTTCGCCTAGGAACTCTTTTAATAGTCACTGTAGAGTGGGTTTACCACAGTTTATAAGTTACCTAGCATACAAATCAATTTCTCTGGGAGAGAACGTACAATCATTGCATTTTGGTGGACGGGCTTTAGAAATTGTCTTTATCTTCGTCTTTCATAGAGTTGGGAATATCGTCAAAGCCAGAGCCAGGAGCGAGCTCATTGAGATCAAGAAAATGCTTTTTCGGTACACCAACTTTGTCTCGATCTGTCTCATTTGATTTTTCTGGTGGATGCGTTTGCTCATCATTTGTCTCAGGATGCTCCTCAGCAGGCTGATCAACATGCATCTCAAGCTTTTCGTTGCTCGAATCTGAATCTCGACTTCCCGTTGAGAACTCTTCATTATCACTAGCAGTTGGGTGCTCGTCTAATGCATTTGACTTCTCAGGTTTCATTAATTCAGTTTCTGATTCAGACATCTCAATCTGTCTATAATCAATACGAGTTCTGGTTGCCCTTTTACTGCGTCTGAGACCAGACTGTAGCTCATCGACTGACCTCAATTTGGTTTCCCTCCTGGTGCGGGATGGCAACATTTTGTTTTTATATTTATGGGGCTCATCACTCTCCTCGCTTGTACTCAAGATATCTTCCTCCTCTTCGGGATTTTCTTCATCCCCTATATATTCTTCATCTCCTTCTGAGCTGCTCGACGTTTTCCTCTGCTTCCGTTTCCTTAGATATTCTTCATCATATACAACTTCACCAACAATATCATCATCACTATCAGAATCTACCTCGTTATCTGAGACAGCTTCAACAAACTCTTCCAACTTCTGAGGCCTCTGCCTTCGGCGATTGCTACCGGCCATGAGATAATCAGTTAGTTCGTGGATAGATGACTAACCCCGCCTACCCCAACAATAAAAGAAAAAAGAAAAAAAGGTGCTAATGGAGTACCTGTAGTCCAATGTTTCAGCTTCGTGATCGTCGTAAAATTCATCATTATCTGGTGATTTTGGAGAGAGAGAACCGAAAGAGGCATGCCGAGAATATTGTGAAGGACCAACCCATCCGCCATTTGTAGAAACTTCATGTTTCACGTGAGGATCTGTTCCGTCAAGAGGTTCTGGGGAAGGATGTTTCTTCCTGATGTGGGGGTACGTCAAAACAATCTTAGTGACTACGATCCAAAAAGAATGAGAAAGAAATAGATTCAAAAGGTGACTAGGATTCATACTTGGTGACCTGGATAGCCTCGTTAATGGATCGATCATAATCATCTACAATATAATGAGAGCAATAATCAGAATTCAAATGATTGGGTTCAGATGCCAACCGAGGAATTGAGCTATTGCTTATGCAAAATAAAGCACAATATCAAACTGGCACATCATCAACGACAAGACAAACAACTAAAACAAGAAACAAGTGTTTAAAGAGTCAGTCTGTGATACCCTGAAGAGTGGTCGTTCCAAATAAGCTGCCAAAACAAGGCACATCGCAAACAGGGGGCTCTATGGAGCCAGGAACTTAAGATTTTCAAAATAGACGATAGAATCTATGATTTGCCAGATAAATATCAAACTATTTAGCAAATCCACACTCACACTCCCTATCCCTATCCCAATTCCAACCCAAGAAAAGGATAAGAAAAATCAAAACATAAGAAACCGAAAAATTTCACATTGAGTGGAATGATTTTTTGGGTACATATGCTCGCGCGCGCACGTGTGTGTGTGTGAGAGAGAGAGAGAGAGAGAGAGAGAGAGAGCAAATGAAAGCCAACAGTTCTCCAATAGTTATCATTAAATAAATATTTTGAAGTTCTAATGAATTCATTAACACAAAAAGATGGGGCTGATCACAAATGAGACAATTGCGTGAAAGAGAATTATATTAGCCTAACCAAAGGTATAGGTGACAGGTTTTCTATCACGGAGGGAGCGACCAGCACCAAGACCATCAATGTTGATCAGGTTATCAAGCATAAGAGCTTGTCTATGTTGCTTCTTTAACAGTCTCTCTTTTCTCTGCATAAATAGCACATCTTAGTGCCAATAACCCCAAAGATATTCAGAAAGGAAAAACATTTTTTAAACACGCGATAATTTTTTTAGTGAAAAGGGTGATGTGACTGAATAAAGCATAATTTCCAAACTAAACGAAGATGCAGTACAAATTATCTTCCAATTAAAAGTACACCTTGTGGACCTTCTCAACTTCAGGAAGCATGTCTTTTTTCAATTTCTTCCCAACAGAAACCTCTGTTCTATTTTTACTTGAAAAGAGCTTCTCCTGCAAACAACAGGAGCGAAAGTCAGATGGACAAGGAACGAAGAAGGAAAAACATATGAATTCCTATATTTAGAAACTACAGTGAAGAGGTAGGTTATCAAGCATGTAAGGTCTGTTGATTATCGAGCACCTCAGGGATGACCTTTACGGGCAAAGAAGCACCTCATTTGGAAAGGCACACATTTTACACATGATGAAGCCCTAATTTAATATACAATTGTTGCAGCCATGCGTAAACATTGAAATGCACCGTGCTAGAGGCTTTCTTTTAACATCAGATATTGTCTACAAGATATTAAGATGAGTGATCTATTATGACAGTGCTCCTATATATAACTCTTTCCTAAAATACTGTTTCTGCTGTAGTTTTTCCTTAAGCTCTTGTATTTGACTCTCTTTGTTCTTTGGTTCAATTACCTTTTCAGATCTTCACATACATTGACAGATTCACCCACTGCTCCCCTAATCTTTATGTTGAAGCGTAGTGCCACAAAGTTAGAATATACTTGAAAACAATTTCAGCCCTATTATTATATGGATAAGATGTTTTATGCTGCCATGAATCTTTTGATACATATAGGACATGAAATTTACAATCCCCACCACAGAATAGTGCACCTACAAGACTTCGACTTTTTTTTTTTTTTTTTTGGTCTACCGAAAGGTACTTCTTGGTCGTGAATATAACTGGTTGTTCGCTACTCAAAAATTCCTGTTTGGGTAGTTCATACCATTCATACAACGTGTTCCAGAGCTACTTAGTTAGAGTAGGCTCCTCGATACACATTAGGACACGTGAAGAGCAAGAATTTTATTGGTTTTAAACTTTTTTAGAACTTATTATTGTTGAAAATAGATGACAAAGTGATGAAAACATCTACTTTTTATTTATTTTTAGTTGGACTTTATTTATGTTTTAAATTCTATTTATGTAATTGGGCTTGTATTGGCCCAAAACCGTTTTAGGTAGGGTTTTGTTTTGACTATTTAAATCTAATTTGCCTTATAATTTCATTAGTTTGATGATTATGATGAATTGAGATTGGTTGTGGTTTCTCCTTCCTCTCCCTTCCCATTTCCCCCAGAATTTTTGCTTCTTCTCCGGTTTCTCCCCCTTTCTCTCTAGTTTTCCCCCTCTTTCTTGCTGTCCTCTTCTTTATACTACATCAAATTTGGTATCAGAGCCGAAACTTGGAAAATCTCTCTCTTACAATCCAAAAATCCTTCCTGTTTCCTTCCCAAAATTTGTCCGAACAACACGGGCAAAAAGAATTTAGCGTACAAGCAACAGTTTTCTTTCCTGTGTAAAAAAAAAAAAAAAAAAAAAAGTTTGAGAAAAAGAACTGTTCAAGGGTACTGTTCACGCCCGAAATTTCTGTTTAGAATTTTCTGCAATTTCAAAAAAAAAAAAGAATCCGTTTGCTACTGTTGCTGCTCCTATTTTTTCCACAAAATTCAACCCTAACAATCAAATCCTACTTACAAAATCAACCCAAATTCCGTTAACCCATTCCCATTACATATTCCAGCCCAATCTAGCTACCCATTAGCCCTTACCCGATTCCAAAACCCCGATTCGTAACGATTTCAGCCCATACACAAATAGAACCCAAACTGCCCAGTCCCATTCCCATTACATATTCCAGCCCAATCTAGCTACCCATTAGCCCTTACCCGATTCCAAAACCCCGATTCGTAACGATTTCAGCCCATACACAAATAGAACCCAAACTGCCCAGTCCAGTAGCCCATCTATCTTAAACCATTTAACCCATATAATCAAGACCCAATCCACTCCCACTCTAACCCATCTTCCACAACCCAAGTCCAACTCGTGTCTATCTTCCTCCCCCCTCATTATCCCAGAAGTCGAATTCTTTGCGACATTGGAGCCGCCGAAGACCACAACCCAAGTCCAACTCATGTCTATCTTCCTCCCCCTCAACATCCCAGAAATCGAATTCTCTACGACATTGGCGGCGCCGCTCCTCGCTGGCACCCAACTTGCCACTACTCTCACCGACACCACCCACGCCGACAACGCCGCTCTCCTGCACTGCCGGAATCATCGACGCATCCCATCTTTGCCGCAACCAGCTACCGTCTCCATTTCTTCTCTACACACCGCCACTCAACAATCACAGTCAGCACCCACCTCCCTTCGCTTGCTGCAACTATTGACCAATCGTGCCACAGTAGCCTAACCAGCGACCCCAAGAATTCTATTTACTTCTCACAGTGCAGACTCCCCACCACCACCACCATCACCATCTCACTACTTCCCAGTCACTGCCAACAGAGCCAAAGTCATAAACCAACATAAATCACAATCACCGCAGCAACAACAGCAGCTAGTCACCCACCTTTATCAGCAACTACAGATTAAGAACACTGCAATCTCTACATAACATCTACCACTACAACCTGCAGTCCAAAGCTACCTTCCACAACTGTTAACAACATTCAACCACCACTCTCTTCACACGTCTCACAGCAACAGAGCGACAGTCACCACAAAAATAAATACCTTGCTACTTTACTAAATGCAATTGGAGTAATTTCAAAGCTGAGGACATTGGGCACGGAGCATAGGCACAAGCCCACTTGAACTCCACACGATAGCAACCCCGACCAACCGACAGCAAGGAGTTCTTGACCCTTTTTTTATTACTAGTTTATACTATTGCTTCGTTTTTAAAATTGCATCGTTTAATTCTCTCTATCCCTAATACATTTATAATTTTAGCCTTAAACCCCACTTGATCGGATTTAAAAAAAAAAAAAAAATTTGACTTCTTATTGTTCGCCACTTATCAAACTTGATTAGAGAATTTGACTACTGTGTTGACCCTTGCTTTACTATTTTATATGTACCAGCAATATTAGCTTGCTTGGGATTTAATTAATCCCAAAACTTAAAATTAATGGAAAAAAATGGTTCAAGTTATTTTCCGTTGCTTGCACTTACGTTCATTGATCTCTCTATTGCACATCATTTAGCTGCTAACACAGTGCATGCATAGTGGTCGACCGGTTATCTTGTCACTCCTAGTTTCAGTACATAAACATGGACTCTTCACAATTTGAGGCACTCACTAGATAATTAGCCCAACTTATCACTAATCAACAATAGTTTCAACTCAATTAGCGACTGTCCAATCCGATATAGCTGCTACTCGTGAGGAGAGAAAGAGCCTAGCTGCTAAAATGAGTCATTTTAAGCAAATCTCTCATTCGATTGACGTTCATAAATCTAAAGTGGTTCATAATAGAGAATATCATCATCGACAAAGTGATCAAAAATGCTTTCGACACGATCATAGGGATAGGGATTAGGTTCATAAGCGAGAACGAGGTTGTAATCATCACAGTACTTATTCACTTTCTCGTCATAAGTTGAGTTTTTTTAGATGAATTAAATTAGATACTTCTATTTTTTATGGTTGCTTAGATTTTGAAGTTTTTACTTAATGGACTGCTCTTAAACGAGAGAATCAGTTAGTGATCGAGTATATTGCACAATTTCAGGGATTTCGAACCGAATGTCATGTTATTGAGGATGAGACCACGACCTTGAGCAGGTTTAGCCAAGGTCTAAGAGATGATCTGAGGTGTGAGCTTTTCCTTCAAGGTGTCACTACTCTTGATCATACTTATTCTTTAGCCCGAGATTATGAGTTGACTATTAGTACTCCATATGAAAAGCGCGATCACCATCATTCACCCATATCATTAGCGTCATCTCAACATGAGTCTGTCATAGAGCCCTCCCTATCTAGTGTTCCCCCCATTTGGAAAAATAAGTGTTAAGGTCGTGATAGTCCAAGGCCCCCTTCTCCATATAGAAGGCGTATTTACAACCATTTTTTTGTTTCATTTGCTCCACTTCCTCTCGTTAAGTCCCTTCTAGGACCTCCCCTGTCTAATGTTCCTCCAATCTTGGAAAATAAAGGTAAAATTTTTGAAACTCCAAGGACTTCTTCTCACTTCCTATGCAACAACTGTAATGACTTTGGTCACATCTCTTCCAAATATCCTAACCGAGCCTTAGTCATAGAAGAACGAAAGAATGTAATAAAAGAGTCATTAGAAGATCTAGTATATGAACCTAAAGATTTTGATGATGATAGTGAGGACACCTCCTTAGATGGCATCCAAACTCTTCCTGAAACTCTAGATACTATATCCCATGATTTCACTAGTCACTTTTGGAGAACTCAATCGCTTATGGTTAGCACTAAATCGAAATTCTCCACTACAAACCAACCTAGACTGATGGTCAAAATGAAGTTGTTAAGCAAAGTCCTAGCAATTTATTCAAGTCTCTAGCTCAAAAAAATCTTGGGAATTGGGACTTGATCCCCCCAACAATTCTAATTACATATAACAATTTTGTGAATCGATTTATAGGTACGAGTTCCATCGAAGTTATTAAAAGTATTGCACACATTACATATAAATACACAAGTATCCGCACATCCTAATTTTTTAAAAAAAAAAAACTATATCCCCCTACCCGTATTGTATTATATTCGAATTATGTATCTAAATCCGTGCTTAGGTTTTATCTATTTCAATTTCACCATATTGAAAATGGAGAGCAGTACACTATACTAAAGAAGCAGGCAATAAAAGTATCATAAATCAAGTAAATATACAGAAAAAATAAATTAGAATTTATTCAGATACAACCAATGCTCCTTGTATATATTATTCATCAAATTTTGGCTTCAGAGTTTGTTTTGTTTCTACTTTCTAGCATTTTTACGAGAAAAGATGCAGTTTCTTAATCAGTTTCAGATTTTTTTAGAATGTTTTTAATCAAACTATGTCTTCAACTTTTAAAATCAATTTAAAATTTTGAGTATATGAATTCGAGCTGAAGCATTTTTTATATTCCCGTGAATACATGCATCCTTACTTCCTTGATAGAATTGATATTGTCTAATCTTTTGGGAGCTTTTCAAAGCTATCATGAGATTGAATAAAGTGATTCCAGAAACATTTTGGAAAAGTAAAAGTGAATAGAAAAGCTTACAGAAACATTCTGGAATTCATCTAAATTAGTTGCAACTGCCTCCCACTGATAACATGAAGGAGGAATGGGGGGTATGCTCTTTCCTTTTCCTCTCTTCACCTCAACCTTCCTAATCTCTCGGTACAGGCGCTGGCCAATGATAGGGTCATCTTCATACCTATATAACAACACACATTTCAATGGAAACTAAAAGAACAGTGAATATCATGGATTTACAAGAAAAATAATTAATATCATTTCAATTAAAGCAACTTTCTTGTCCTTATTAATACTGGATGACAAAATGAACGCTTAGATTACAGATATTAACGATCAGTCATTTGCCATTAAATGTAAATTACCAATATGAGATTCCATGTGAATCACCCCCAAGGCGTTCTTTGCGAAATACTGAAAGCGGCACACCATGTTTTATTGAGTCGTCTATAAAGCTCCTAACATCTTCTTGCTGCAGATTGTAGTATTATTCAGTATAGGTACACCACAAAGATACATCCAATTTTATCGAAAAGCATAAATTGTAAGAATGGGAACTCGCATTAAGTTTCCAAACCTGAAGCCTTTGGTTTGACTAGCAAAAGCTTGTTAATTAAATGAAACTCAAGCTTCAACCCCAAAGCTAAAGTAGAATAATTTTTTTGTAATAATGAAATTGATTGAGCAGTGTGCAGTGTGCACAGCTTATATCTCACAAGTCTAGACAGCACAGGTCACATAACAATTTGCCCTTCAATGTTCATTCACATTATACATTGTGCTTGGTGTTTTGAAAAAAGCACGGTCATGAAACTTTAGTGAGCCATCCAACAAGTGCCAAAATGACTGTTTTAGAATGACAAAATGACCTCTTAAAAAATGTGAGTGTTATATCTTTTGGAGACATTTTTACCAGGAATATGCACAGCTCATTAATAAAGGCTTCTCATCCTCCATGCATCAATTTTCCAATTGACGATCTCATAATATCTCAATTTAATATAATCATGATTGTTATAGAACTCCCAATTTACTTTTCAGGACGAAGTTTAAAGGAACAGATTCTCTCAGATCAAGAAGATTGGCTCGAGATCATTATTTGGATATCAAACCACACATGCAGCACATATTTCCACGGAAGAAAATGGTGAATATTTCTTAGAAGGAAATATGTTTCAGCTAAACATAGTAAACATGTAAGCACCAAAAGTCAATTTTTAAGGATTTAATTACTCACTTGATTTTGAAAAGGGATTCAGTAAAATTGTTTGGATCAAATCAAAATAATCTTTTAAGAAAGTACCTCAACACGAATATCACATAATGCTTTCAGAATCACCACACGAACGCTAGGGTCAAGTGCGCTGTATGCTTCAATTTCGGCCCTAAAACAACATGGGAACTCATAAATATCCACAAATTCATTTTCCTAAAGCCAAGAACAAGCACAATATTTGAAGTTCACTGAAAATGCATGTCTACTAACCCATGTGATGCAACTATGGGTATATCTCCGTCTGCAACCTGCAATGTAAGTAATCCCATCATATATTGTTAGAAAAATGTGTTCAATTCATCCAAAAATCTGTTCAATTCCACTTATTAATTACCCAATGCCACCAATCTCTCAGTTTTCGGCATAAAACAGTTATCCAAGTACCATGTCCCAGCGCCATTCTTGTGACAGGAGGAATTGCCTTTAATAAAGCAGAGAAAATATATATAAGAATGCTGGTTATGATACCATGCAAAAAAAGGTATAATAGAAAAATACTTCAGAAACTTTGTACAGATTATATAGATAAGAAAAAGACAATGACACAAACACAAATAAAGAACAGCACGTATACAATAAATCATGAAGCATCTAGACTGTGGTTCAACAGAGAATGAACTTATGAAAGAAAAAGTTGCAAGATAGCATCTTCACAGGGTGTTAATATTTTGATGCCGCAAAGAAATTACCAAAAAAGAAAGCTATGATATTGCATTAACAGCAAGAACACAAAACAAATCCAGAAATTGGAGAAGAGCAAACAACTCTAAACAAGTCCATGAAATTCGCCGCCCTTGTGGTCAACAACCAAAAATCCAACAGTTGACATAACATTTGAAAGCCTAACCAGAGAGTTGAGAAGCCTCTATGATAGCCAAACAGTAGGGAAAGAAGGTGTGTCCTCAGTGAGTTTCTAATTGGTCCCTAGACTTCCCATATACCTGCATGTCATTCTGATAGACTTGGTAGAGTTGATATGGCTCTAATTTCAATAGACTGCTAATAACCAGTAAACATATAGTCATCTAGCAGTCCGCTCTAAAATCAGAACCACAAGTCAAATTCCAACTGAGTATAGGTATTGCCATGAACTCTAGTATTTCAATGAGAATTCCTCCCAAATCATCAGCTTAGCACCAATATCAACTTCTCTTAAAATTCCATCTCTTAGCAGCTTCATCTGAAAGTAGTTTGACAACATAAAATGAAATGGTGGCATTCTACCCCTTCCTCTTTTCTCTCGTGTCACTGGCAAAACGTGAACTGACATGTAAACCTTTCAACTTATTGCTATGGCGCACTACAGAGAAGTCCTGGTGATAATATATAACAGTGTAGTTATGCAGAAACATAAGAAGCTAGTATCATAGCCCCTTTTCAATTTCCTTCATCTATGTTAGAAGAACTTTGGTGGGAATTTCAAGAATAAGTTAAATCTTATATGCTTTTACATATGATCTACATGCTAATGGAAATTCAAATCTATTTTAAGGGTCTGTTCGATAGTGATTATGAGAATTAATTTTTTGACCGTTAGGGAGACAAGTAGATCCCACCTTTGAGTGGAAAAAAGGCAAAATTGACGGTAGAAATAGTGAAATAACGGTTAAAAATTGATTTTTTTGGGATGAAAAATTTGCAACTAAACGGGGCTAAATAAATCACAGCTAAGCACTAGTCTAGCTTTGCATCTCAAATTTCTGTACTTTTTTATTTTTATTTATAATCACATATTTTTATTAATCAAAAGATAATATACAAGAAGTGCATTATCAATTTAAACAAGATAGAAATAATATAAAATTAGGCCGCCCTTCTATCAGATTAGTAGCCGCAACATTACAAAGTCAGATAAAACAATTCTCTAAACTGCTCCGTCGTCCATGTTTGATCTTCAAAATTGTGAATACGTATCTTCTTTACTGAAATTTGAAGGACTTCCAAGGAGATATTCTACGCAAAAAGAAAGAAAGACAGAAAGTAAAAGGACGAAAGATCTCCTCTAGGATCTGCAAAGGGCTGAATGAAGGTGTCAATTGGAAAATGTCTCAGCAGAACACAACTGAGAAACATAGCTCTGAAGCAGGCCAAATAACCTCCAAAACAATGGGTTACCTGATAATGTTTTTCACAAGGTTCATATAATGGAACATTCATCTGAACATATTAATACTTCAAAATCAAGATGATAAATGCTACAGTCAACAAATCAATTTACATTCCCTCACAGGCCCCATATGTATAACCTTCCATGCAATTCGTTAAGGCACACCTTGCAAATGCATGTGCAACTTTCATAATCATCTAAACCTACCTTGCAAGTAACAATTATTCTATCTATTCTGCAAGAAAGAGATGCATAAACTTCTGAAACAACCACAGAAACACCAAGAACAACCACGGAGATTCGAATTAACACGAGTGATAAAGTTGCACACAATCGAAAACCGCACCAAATGTAAAGCACTAACCTTCAACAATGGTATATGTATATCTCCCAAAGTATTATTAGGCATAATCAAAGCCGTCTCAAACTCTTCTGGAGAAAACTCCACTTTAATATTCAACAAATGCCTAAATACCTTCACACAACACAGAAGACACACATTAGCTTTCAAACAGAAAAATTCTAATCTTTTTCTTTTCATCTTACTCTCTCATTACATACATTCAAAAAATTGAGTATAGAAGCCAGCTGCCACATGGACCGAATGGTCCATCGCTGTAACTGTGACGGTTCCGGCTCCCCCACCAGTGGGGTCACTATTTTACTACATTGCTGCAACGACGAGAGGCACCCATTCTCCTCTCCATCTTGTTCCTCTTCCTCCTCCTCCTCCTCCTGCCCGACCCCCTCCTCCTCATCAGACAACTCCTTCAGAAGCCGGGCCGCCAACCTCTCCCTCCTCTTGGTCTTCTTCCGCTTCCTCTCCGCCTCAGCCATCACTGCCTCCGCCTCTGCTGCCGCCTGCAACCTGGCTGCCGCCCTCTGTGTACATGCCCTGGACGGCCTCTCCCTCCTGATTACTACATTATTACTTCTACTACTATTCTTAACATTATCTTCCTTAATGTTCTGAACACAGTTGTTTTCCACATGGGTATTCGGGTTCTCAGGGTTTTCCGAGGAGCGGATCGGAGAGGAGGCCTCGGACATGGTGGTCCGATCGGTTGCAGACGGGTCAAGGGAAGAGTTACATGCAAGATCTAGGGCTTGCATTGAAGCAAAAAGAATTTGTCAAAAATTACTAATCCATTCGAAAGGGCCACAAGTAGAAAAAAAAATGTCGGGGTTTTTCCCACAAGCTACAAATGGGCAAAAAAAAGAAAATAGAAGCTACAGACGGAAACAAGTATAATTAATCAAGATAATAATACAATAGATGGATAATATAAATGGGTTCGTCGGGTTGTGAGATTTCAGAGGTACGAGTTAAGAGTGATATGAAAGAGGAATACGAGAAGGGGAGCAATAAAGAACAGTGTGAATTGCAGGAAAATTGGGTATGCCAGATGGTAAAAACACAAGGTTAATCAGCGAGGACGTGACTTGAGATAGTAATTTCAGTGACAAAGGGTAAATCCTGATCCCAACAATGATGATTTTTGGGGGGTTAAATGTGTTAGAAGATTGAAGTTTGATTGTTAATTGGTGTTGAGAGGAATTTTATGGTCACGGTTTGGGGTTTCTTGGAATAAGGAGATGCATGTGAAACACGCTTGCAGCACGTCACACACACAAACACATACATGTGTGTATAGTAAATTGCAGAGGAAATGTTATGATTTTAGACGCTAACTCTTGTTTTCGAAGTCTCGTCTTTCTACTTTGGCGATAATTTGATCTCAAAATAGAAGGAATGTGCTAAAAAAGTCAATTAAAAATTAGTTTTGATTGAAAGAAAGTTGTATTTTGTATTTTTAATTTAAAAGTAAAGAAATGAATGAAAAAAATAAATTTGAGTTTTCTCCTCCACCATGTCCCAACCTCGATTGTCATTTTCAGGTAGGGGTGAGGAAAATCAGGATTATGGAAGGCTAGTAGAGAAGTGTAAAAGATAGTAAATGAAAGCTAGTATGCGAGGAAGGAGAAAAGATTGGATGAAATTAACAAGAAGGGCGAGGAATTATAGAATGGTAAAAATTGATAATAGATGGGGGCTAAAAGAAAGAAATAAAAGAATATATACAGAAAAATGAGAAATTAAATTGATAAGGAACGTTGTAAGAAATTAGAAAAGAGAGTAAAGAAAAGTAGGTTTGAGTAAGGAAAAAGAGTGAAATTAATAACAATATTGAGGAATCGGTGGGAAATGTGAGAATAGAAGACCGATGGGGCGAAGGAAAATGAAACATAGAAAAATAAGAAATTAAAGTTTTCTATGTCCCTCGCACCACCATCACTATTTTCCATTTCAAGTAATATACGAGAGAAAATGGAGTATAAAGTTCGATTTGTTATGGAAATGACAAAAAGGGAGTAAAGAAAGTCCATTGGTGAGGACGGAAGAATTAGAGGGTGAAATAAATAGTGAGGAATTGCGGGGATTGTGAGAATCAACAACACATGGGGCGAAGGGAAATGAATTAAAAAAAAAATAGAAATTAAAAGTTTTCTCATGCCATCGGAGCCACCTCAATCTGCCATTTCACGTAGGGACGAGAAAAGTTGGTAAGGTGTTGAAATTTTCAAATTTGGATAATGTATTTATCCTTATTTTATACTTATACTAGGTTAAATTTTTATTTATTGAAGAATTAACCTATAAATATATTGGATAATTTCTTAGCCCACATCAATTGTTTACCGGAAGTTTAATTATTCTTCAGATTGTTTACAATCGATAAAGGGGAAAAATTCATAGTTAAGTGTATTGTTTACACCAATTCACAAATCAGGTACATAGTGTAAAATTTCAAAATTCAGGTATTTATATAATTAATTGAAAATATTTATTAATTAAATATAATAAAGTCACAGTTAAACGATTAATGATCACGGATTCGTAATTATATGTCACAAATTTATTTACTGGTCATAGATTATTTTGATGTCACAAATCAAAAATCTTATAGGTCGCAGATTATTTCGAGGTCACAAATTCAAAATTTACAAGTCTTAGATTAGTTCAAGATCAAATTAATTTATCGTCGATTGTCAAATTCTTAAATCACACTTACACAGTTAGTTATAGATAACTAAATGGTTCGTCACATGCGTCAAATAGCGGTCACATACCACCACAAGCAACACTATGCACCGCCACCGTCATCACCACCATTTGTGACCGCCATCACCACGTTACCGTCTTCGACACCACAACAGCATCAACACCAATGCCAACAAATCAACACCACCAAATCAAATCAAATGCCAACAAAAATCAGGATAACCACAGCCACCAACAACCTCCTCCATCGTCGGAACCACCACGATTGCCACCACCTAACACACCAATAATATACAACCCACAACCTCACCAACACTGCCCACATTACCACTGCTAACGTGAACGCATTCACCGTCGTCAGAAACAACCACGATTGCCACCACCAAACACACCAACAAAACATAACCAACGTCTCCATCGCCAACACGCCGGAAACCATCACATCCAAACAATACACCAACCTACAAACACCTCACCAACACCACGTCACCACCCAAATTAGCCACACAGGCAGCAAAAGAGTACGATCCAGTACAACGTCGCCAACCATGCACTCACCAGAGAAAAGGCAGATCTGCATAGCACGGAGAGGAGAGAGTGAAGAGAGAGAGGTGGGACGGAGACGATAATAACAGAGATCTGGAACAAAGACGATAGTAACAGAGCCAGATTTGCAGCTGCGATGTGATGTGTTGGCGATGGAGAAGTGTGTCCCTCCAGAGAAAAGTCGGATCTGCAACGACTGTGTGTCGTGTTGGAGGTGGATATGTGTATCGCGCCGGATGGAACGATGACAGAGCATCGGGAAGAGAGAGAGAGAAGAGAATGGGTTGTCGGCACAACTCCTTCATTGTTGTTTGGGTCGGCACAACTCTTACATCGTCGGTTGTCGGAGTTTGAATGGTCATCGGTGTTAAAAAAAAAAAGGCAGAGAAGTGAAGAGAGATGTAGAGAGAAGACGGGGAATTGAATTTGAATTCTAGGGTTTGGAGTTGGATGAAGTAGGATATATATACTACCTGAATTCTGAATAAAAATTTTTGCCACCTGATTTTTGCACTTCGATCTTGAAAAGGCCGGGAATTCTATAATTTCCTCATCGATAAATTAATTTTCTTGCAAGCTAAACCCACAAGGCTGGTGGGCTAGCCCTTGGGAGCATTGTGGTATGAAACTAGACTGAATTTGGGGCTTGACTAGTATGGATTTAGAAAGGATCCATGAAGCCTTAGTTTGACAAATTTAAAAATTATTTAAACTTCATTTTCAACTATACATTTCAATAAACCCACAAGTAACATTCACTTATCCAATATTATTTTTATAAATCTAAATTTGCAGATTCTTCTCAAAGGGGACTTCTATTGATCTTTGATTATCATTTAATGATCTAACAGTCCAAATTTAAGCCGAGTATGACCATTGGGATTTCCAATTCTGGTTATCTATTTTGTGTCTGAAAGTCTATAGATATTGCACTAAATCACTTAAAATAACGACAATTTTTCTCTCCTCTCTTCGCATGATCAAACTTTTATTTTTGCATAACATTACTTAACAAAAAAAAAGAAAAATCCGAGATTGTAAACTTAAGTTATAATTTCATAAATCTTTGAAGGCTTGCAAAAATTAAGGTATTGTAATTGCTTTCAGAAGTACAATCTGGAGATAATATAGGCTCCATTGTCTCTAAGACGAATTCTAATCACTTCAAACCTTCTAGTAGGGATGAATATTATCTTAAGCACTACTTGATAATCTGTGTGCCTTGAAAACAAATCTTATTAAGGCCTCGTTTGATATACATTAATGTAAAAATGAGAATGAAAAATATAGTCGTTGCGAGCCCCACACAAGATATAAAAAGAAGAAAGTCAAAGATGACGACTTAATGTGACGGATAATAATCATATTTTTCATTTTAATGGGCTAATAATGGGAATCAAATGGGGGCTAAGTTCAATTGTGCATGCAAGGGTCGTGCAAACTTTTCTGACATTAGAAAGGGTCGTACAAAATGGAAATGAGAGTAAATGGAAATCAGTTGGCAAGGATGGGATGGTGAAATTGCAGTAGGATCGAGAAATCATGGGGATGATTAGAACTAATGAAATGGGATGGAGGAAAATGGATAAAAATAAACTGAAATAAGAAATTAAAGTTTCTCCTAGTGTCACCTCAATTTGCATTTACGGTAGGGGCGAGGAAATTAGAGTATAAGGGAAGCATGTAAGAAAACGAAAAAGAGACAGAAGGGAAGCTAATTGGCGAAGAAGGAGATGGTGAAAGTTATAGTATGGTCAATTAATTATATGCAATGGAGATCGATGTGAAAGCAGAAAATAGAATAAAAGGGAAGCCAAAATGAAGAAAGAGGTTATGAAATTAATAGCATGGTTACGACAAATGAGATAAGAGGAAATGAGTAAAAATAAGAAATTAAAGTTTTCACCACCCATCCCTCCACCACTTTAATTTGCCATTTCAGGCATATGTGCGAAGAAAATGGAGAATAAGGTTGGTACAAAAATGAAAAACAGAGTAAACAGAAGCTAGTAGGCTAGGAGGGATTTTGTGAGAATAATTAAAAAATTATACATTTTATTAAAATAATTAAAATTTCCTTACAATTGAAAATTTAGGTAACTCCAATCAACAAAGAGACATTAGTAATACGAGGGACGTAAATTAATTGAAGACGTTAGTTAGAGGAAGGATTTAATTGAAGATGTTGGTAAGTTGTAAATTGAAGCTATTTTTTAGCCTATTAGTCAGATGGCGGAATTCAATTGAAGAAACATATAAGATGTTTAGAGATGACAATTTGAACCGTTAAAATCGAAAATTGCTGTTAATCGAACCGAATGGGGTGGATATGGTATTTGATTTTAATTAACCGGTTCGTGGTGGTGCGGGTATGATATTTACGCTGTCGAACCGAAACCGAACCGATTATCCGCTAAAAAAAATCATTTTTTTATTAGGGATGACAAGGTTTAGTAAGAAGGAAGTGGACGAAGAGGTACTTTTTTTCTTTATCTAAATCTTAGTTAAAACCATTTTGGATTATGTAGTATCATTGTATCCTCTATTTACATTTCTTATTTACTATATAGGAATCAATTTTGAATGCTGACCTATGCTAGTAAGAGTTGTGGGGAAGAATGAAGATTGAATATGAGTTAAAGTTGAAATTTTTGAATTATTGAGTATAAATCAAGTAACTATAATGCACAAGAATGAAGGAAAATTTTAGTACTGTTATATTCATAATACTGTTTGTTAAATTTTTATTTTGCAATTGGAATTTTGGATAATGTTTACATTTTCGTTTGGAATATTATGTTTTTGTTTTCATTGACTCTCTATTCATAAATTGTTGTATATCAATTTGACGGATTGACCTATAAAAAATAATTTATTTTCGTAATTATTAACTGAATCGAACCGAGTCGAACCGAGATACAAACCGAACAGATATGGTGCTGTTATGATATGATAAAAAATTTGACGGTTCGATGATGATTTTGGTCAAACCGAACCAAATCGAATTGTTGCCATCCCTAAAGATGTTAGAGACACAGGAAGACTCAATTGAAGTTTTATGTAAGTATATGGTCTGAATTGAAACTTTTGGAAAGTTTAGAGATCCATTACCAATTATGTGAAGTTGAGATGTACTAAATTGATGGCGTTGATAAGACAATGGCCTAGTTGAAGATATTAGTAATATTGAGGACTAAATTAATGATATGATAAAGATACATCCTTCAACTTAATGTACGTTCCAAGTAAGTCATATATCGTTCCATTAATTATAGATACATCCTTCAAAAGACCAAGCAAGTACTCTAAAATCCAAATAACTCAAATATATCTTTCATCTTTCAGAAATCTCAAATATAGGCCTCTGACTTTTTTAGATATTAAAATTACATCCTTCAACTTTCCAAAAAATCCAAGTAAGTCCCCCTAATTTCCTGTAACTCAAGTACATCATTCTTCTTTCAAAAACCTCCAATTTAGGCCTCAAACTTTCAAACGGTGTTCTAAAAAGTGTAATTTGTGGCAATACAAGGAGGTCGAGTTACGATTAATGTGCACCTAGGCAAAGCTTAGGAGGTAAAAAGAGTAAAAAAAAAGAAAAAATTGTTTTTCTTATTTTAATATTATTTTAAAATTTTTAATCAATTTACAAATTAATAATGCGCGCCAAGATGTGCCTATAAAATCCTAGGCACGCCTAATGCATTCGACGAAAGCGTTGATCGCTAAATTAGCGCATAACGCCATGTCTCGTGTCTTGGCGACTCCTAGGCGTCATCAATGCTCGCCATTTAGAACACTACTTTAAAATAACACAAGCTACATCCTTTATACTATCAGAACTACTAACAAGGCCTATTACTTTAAAGAAATCAAAATACATCCTTCATCTTTCAAAAATCTCCAATTTAGTCCTATAACTTTCAAGTATTACAATTAAATCCTTAATCTTTCAGAAGTGTCCAAGTAATTTCGAAGAATCCGAATACAACCATCATCTTTCATAAATCTCCAATTCAATCCTCCAACTTTCAGATAACAAAAGTTTCATCCTTATACTATTAGAAACTGCTAATAAGGCCTCTTACTTTAAGAAAATCAAGATACATCCTTCATCCTTCCTTGATCTCCAAATAGATCCTCAAAAATTACAGATATCTCCAAATACATCCTTCAACTTTATGTACTTTCCAAATAAGTCGTATATCTTTCCATTAACTCTAGGTACATCCTTCAACTTCCAGAAAAGTCCAAGCACTCTAAAATTTGAATAATAAGAAAGGTAAAGCACAAAACCTACTTATCTTTCAATATTATGGTGCAAAACGTTATTACCTTTCATTTTTGGGCATTTTTACTTTTATTTTCACATTTCATTGCGAAAGTCATTTTCATCCAATTTCTCAATAAAAAAATGTGAAATAACAAATATACTCTCCTATTTAAATAAAATAAAAAAATAAAGAATTGATTGCAATTATACTTTCAAATTTAAAAAAAAAACTGCAAAGGAGTCCAAATACATTATTAAAAAAGTAATTAGCACAAAATATCCATACATATCAATATTATTGAGAAAAACGTTCATATTTTTCATTTTTTAGCATTTTCACCCTTATTTTCATATTACATTACGAAAATTATCATTTTCATCCATTTTATCAATTAATAGATACTTCCATATCCATCCTTTTAACTTTCATGAAGTTCGAATTGGCTAAAATTGTAAAGTTTTAAAGTACAAGAACCGAACATGTAATAGAATCAACTCTAAATAGCCCAGCTGAAATTTGATCACCTCTGTGAACCATACTTTAAAACTCAGTAGTCAGTACAATGTCCAATTCTTCCACACAAAAGATAAACAACAAATAGGAAAAAAATTATATTTTTATAGATTGAAGTCTAAAATATAAACATGAGAAGCTTCCATTCATTATTAAAATTCTGCAAGTGACAAATTTATGAATTCTTATTGCATATAGGATGGATTTCAAAAGAGAAGCATAATTGTAATCAGAAACATTCACGAACTCGAATTGACTCTTCAAAGGAAGATTATCGGCATTGTTGCAGCAATTGGTTCCAGGTTAAGAAGCAAGAAGAAACTACAACCTAGCCTTTAGAATAAGGATCTTGCTACTTGTACGTAAAAATGGTTCATAAACAATTTATCAAAAAATGATGTGAAGGAAAAAGATTGGATGAAAAAGTTGACTGTGTTTTAAACTGAGAAATGATGGAGCATTATATGAAGATTATGTAATCGCTTAGATTGAGATACATACAGCAAGGTCCTCGGAGTAAAGAGTGCTCCTATAAAATGCATAAAAAGGGATCAAGAAATTGCAAAACATGGATCAATTCACAAAACTTGAATGGAACAATATAATTACTTTCCTCGCTTGAACCGCATCCTTTTAGGCTATGCCATCCTAAAGTGCTACTAAGTGGATGGATCTTATCAACTTCCATGAATTATAAATCACAGATCGAACCATTAAAAATTTAAAAAATTGGGTACTATCATATAACTTTGTATCAGCTAAGTTCATGAGTTGAAGATAAATGAGTCAAATCAATGACATCAGCATCTAATACTAAAGATTCAAGAAGGAATTTTCTAATCACAAACGGTACAGTCCCAATGAAAACGTCTGACTGGTTCACAGGCATAAGGAAAAATGAAGAAAATAACAATCACTGTCATAACTCTAAGAGTAAATTGCCTTTAACTACTAGATAGGCTGAAATAGCTTTTTCGGGATCCTCTTAAGGGTCAGGTTAATCCAATGAAATTCAAGGAGAATCAGTACATAAAGGCAGTTCAAAACATGGATCTAGAAACTGCAGCAAGATTGAAAAGATGAGCTTAATGAAATCACTGCCTCCCATTATAACAAGAAAATGAATTTGCACTCCCAACTGCATGAAAAAAAATGCATATCAAGGTTGTTAAAATAATCCCTGCTATTACTCTTTCATCTCCATTATTATTAGCCTTTTAGATAAAAAGAAAGACCCCCCCCCCCACCCAACCCAATCCACCCCACCCCACCCCACAAGATTAATATATCTCCATTTGACGTTTTTATTTATCAATGGAGATGAGGATCATCAAGTTGCAATGGACAGTCTAAAGAGTTGACTTTTATGTGGTCAAACCAAGTGCATACATATTTTGGTAGTTGGAAAAGAAATTTGGTGGCTTTGTCCACAAATCCCAATCCAGGCTAGACGGATTTTGGTTGGCTTAGCACATTACAACACAAAGATCACAAAAGAGTATAGAATTTGGTCCCTACGTGAAATTAACTCTACGCACCAGATCATATGAATTTTCTAGTGGGTCGGTCAACTCGCCCTTATGTTTTGATCATCCGTAACCTTATTTTAATTGAATAAAGTTAGAATTTGTCCCCATTCATATAAAAATAATTCAAGAGTCTACACCCATTGTTTTTATTTTTATTTATTTTTTTATTCCTTGTGGATATCTTGCGGGGATTGGTCGTGACATCCATGATCAGACAACTTTAATTGTAAATTTAGGTCATATGTTTGACCAGTTCAGGGTTTCAGTACAACATCCATGATGTTATAGAATACATTATTAGGTATGAGAATATCAACAACCCTCTTGATATTATAGAATACCGTGACATCATTGATAGAAGTTAATTGTAGATATAAGTAAAATACGTACTTCGACCTACACCAATAATTAATGTACAAAATATATTTTACGTCTATTTTACTAACGTATATGTTTTTAGATCCTTTTCATGCCAAAGAAAAGATTTCTTAAATATAATATTACATTTTAAATATTATCTAATTTAAGAAAATGATAAATATTGATTGAGATCGATACAATTTCTTGAAATTTTGAATAATATTTCACCACGAACATGAGAAATAATGTTGAGATTATGATCATAACAATATACTACGGTTAAACATTCTGGCATATCAAACAATCTCTTGATTTTTTAGTGTTACGAATCCTAGAAAATTACGAAAATATGATCTATTATTAGAATCATAGAAAATAGTGAAAAATATTACGACAATCTTATGAAATTCCAAAAAATCTCCTTTAATAATTTTCTGCCACTGCATAGAAATTAAAATGAAATATAAACACCGAAATCTATTATATGTCTAGCACACTAAACATATACGTTCGTATAGAAAACTTACGATACATATATTGGTCTTAACTCGTCCAAGCTTGACAAGTGCTCTAAACGACCAAATACCTCATAAGAGACGACACCAACTCCGACACTCCTAATGGTACGTCCCATTATAGATACTCGTGCAATCTAATTAAGATCAAAATATGAAGACCCCGCTCCCGTTTGGCACGTTAAATATACAATACTAGACGAGACTTGACAATATACGAATGCACATTACCAAATATCGGCTAGTGTCCTAATCTTAACTGTTTATAAACAATCATGGAAAAATAGTAAAATTTTTCGGCCAAACTACTAACATGGAGAGATTGTAAAAAACTCACAATCCTGGGTTCAGCCAAGATATTTTCATCGTATCTTCTGCACCGGTGATTTATCTTTATCCTTGTTTCTGTGCACCCCAGCTGATGGACACACTATCCCATACGCTTAGATGGCTGTTATGTGACTTCGACAAGGCAGCTTGAACGGTTTATACAGTGTTTTCCTCCCATCGGAAAGTAACTTCTTCGAGTAAGCTGTGCCTTAATCTGTGGTAACCGCATATTCTACAAATATATACCAGCATTTTACCAATCTTCCTGAAAATTTTTCCATATCCAGGGCTGTACAAACATTATATCACAAAAGCAGTTAATAGATGAAGTGGAATCTCATTCAGTATCCTCCAAGAGACCACTCCATCGCTGAGAATATAAAAGCCTTCTGAGTATGACATGTTTGTAGAAGTTTCTTGTTCGGAAGAACAATGCTAAGGCAAAGAGAGATCCCAAGAAGGTAACAGATGCCATAATAATAAATGATAACTTGAAACAGTGATTTCCAATGCACGTTTTTCCATTATCCGATGCTTCTCTGTCGTAGAAGTAACCAATTATCCTGACAGAAAGAACATAAGATCCAACAGGACCGGCAATGGTTATGGTGTTGAATATTGTTCCCATATGCACTTTACCAAATATTTCAGAAGCGATTGTTGGCATTAGTGACCACTGTGAACCATAACAAACACCCACCAAAACCGAGCCGGCATATAGAGCACCCGGAAAACCAAAAGCAACCATAACATAACCCATGCTCATAGCAGCAAGGGTAATTGCAATGAACAATGGCCTCGGCCATCCTTTCGCGTGCAAGAAGTAATCCGAAATATAACCAGCTCCAAATCGACCAAGAAAATTCCAGATGCTCCATAAAGAAACCAAAGTATCAATCTCTAAGTTAGTGTAACCAAGAGATCCTCCTATTTGTGCCAAATTATTCACTGTGGCGAGTCCTGAGCCCATGCCACAAGCAGTTGTAATGAATAAAAACCAGAAACTGATAGTGCATGTTGCTTGCAGAAGATTCAGGTCGTCTCCCCGTCTCAGAGTATCATCACTTGTTTCTGTACCTTGATCAGCACCATTTGAGACCTCATTTTGTCTGATCTGTGTCATATCCTCTCTGTCATCAGTGACTTGGTTATGCTCGAGCAGGGATTTTATCATCCTATACGATTTCTCTCTCTGGGCGTCAATTGCAACAAAAACTGGGGAGACTAGCAACAAGACGAGTACAACAAAGGTGAAGACGCGTATTGACAATCTTAACTTGAGAATATTGTCCACGATTATTACGGCTGTAAGATAAGACGCTAGAAGAACAGCAAGAAAAGAGAAACTGTTCAAGTATCGTTTCTCGTTTTCTTCGTTTGATTTGTAAATTCTTACAAACCCCATGAACAGAAGAGAACTTATTGTGGGCAAAAACGCCAGCATCAGTAGATATGAACTAGGCTTGTCCTTGAAAATTGTTTGGTACACTAGAATCAATATAGCTCCACCCAAACCAAGAAAGCCCTATCAAAGAACATACACTTAAGCAAACACAAATTCTTGTGGTGACATACAAGCTGTTAAAAGTATCTCATTATAGCACACTGAAGAGCTGAACAGTGGAATTTATTAAACTGATTCCAGAAGTGAACATTTCCTCGTTCTTACATCCAAGTGTTGGAGAATGCTAAGTTCAAATGACGGTGAATTCAGCTCAATTAAGTGCATTCTAAATCAGTACCAAAATAAATGAACTAAAGTTTCAGTTTCTCTGTGAACTATTAATATAATGTACGATAATAACCAGTTCAAGCTGAACAGGTTGGTATAAATATTCTAAATATGTGATCAATGCTTCCAATTTATGTCATACCGCATGTTCAAGAACTCCTATATTCCTTCATTTTTCTAAGAATTCTAAAAGGGCTAAGTTGTCAACAATAATATGTATTACGAGAATGTTAGGCTACGCTTAAGATAAGTAAAAGTTACTTAAATGTAATTTTTATTTCCAGATATGTTGGAATATGTCAACTTTTCTTACAATTAAATAACAATTAGTAACTTATTTTCAAAATTAACTCTTAGATTTTCACCAAACTTACTTATTTTTAATTTTAAATGATATAAAGATTATTTATATTAGAATTTACTTTATAAGTATACTTTAACAGCTTACAGCATCGACAAGAGCCTCCCTATATTTTCAAAGGGCATTTTCTTCATGGGAGAGCATCTATAAATTTACAGAATTAAAGTTTTGAAGTAATCCAAAAGCTCTTTATATTTGACACTTAATTTTACTACTAACAAAAAATATTTATTATTTTTCTCTATCTTTTATTTTAACTAATTTTCTCTTGATTATTTTATTATTCCTATATTGAAAATTGAAATATTTTGAATCTATTTAATGACACCTAGACTGGTTGGGAATGCTCTTAAAACGTTATTAAAAACCAGTTGTTCTAATTAAATGTTCCATAAAAATACAATAATTATCCACCCAAAGTCGGAATTTACCTTCATGATGCCGACAATAGTGCCGGCGTAGTTCTGAAAATTATGCACGCCGGTGACCACATTCGCCGTGTTAAAAAACGTCATGGCGTGCGCCGCCAGGAGCATATACAAGCACATCACCGCCACCGGCGGCCGTGGGAGCACTTGAGTAACAGTCAACCACATAAGAAAGTACCCTAGAAAACACTGAGCGGCGCCGGCCAACAGCACCACCCACGGCCCCCTACGGCCACCGCGAACGGTGGTGGAGTAGAGGAGACCGGAAAGGATGCCGGTGTTTGCCCCCAAATCTTTGAAAACAGAAATTGTGTTGAGTGTGGATTGATCGTAGCCTTGGCTGGATTTTAAGACTGGGGAATAGATGCTGAAGGTGTAGAGGGAACCACTGGTGCACTGGATCCATATACTGGCTACCGTGGCTACCCATTTGTTCTTAATTAGGGATTTACGGCTTGGGTTGTAATCTAAATCCATTTTTAGGGGAAATTTATGATCTTTGTGGTAATTCGGATTGAGGATTTTCTTGGATTGAGGTTCTGAGAAGTTAAGAATAATTAAATTACAATTTTCTACTTGCACAGGACCCTGTGCACACCCTGTGCACAGGGTCCTGTGCAAGTAGCACAGCCCATTAAATTATTGGAGTACTCGAATGTGGTGAGTTCCTAGAAGCCCACGTGGCTTCCCAGCCACACTTGACCAGACTGATTAATTTGTGAAGATTCAGATTTCGCCCCCCGATTCTAAAAGTGCAAAAAAAAAAAAAAAAAAAAAAAAAAAAAAAAAAAAAAAAAAAAAAAAAAGGGGTTGAACCTCAACTTTGAGGGCTTCCACCGCTCCGTCCTTAAAATTTTGTGAGGGAGGTAAATCACGAGATGTGTCTCAATAGACCAAAGAACAAGAGCTGCCTATACACTGAAAATGAGCTGTGGATCGTGCTGATTGTTGTTCCCCACCCATAGGCCTTGTTGATTCTAAAAATATAAACGGGCGCTCATGGCCAACATACAAATGTCTTTTGATAGTCGATTTTTCTATACGTATATAATGATTTAAATATATGCAAAAATATGTTATTGCGAGAAGGTGTAGTTAAAAATAAATTTTGAAAAAATTAAATTTTAAAAAGTAGATGCCAATCGAGGACTAATTTTGTCTTGACTAATCTAATGCCCTCGAAATCACACATTTTCAAGTGGTTTACAACTCTTCAATATAAACCCGTCGAGCAAGAAAAATTGAATCCAATCACCAACGCCAATTAGTGATTCCGTCTGACAACTCTTAAGTGGAGACATGTAGAGCAAGAAAGATTGAATCAAATCAAGCAATCGCCATGGCTAATGAATCATGCTATGTGTACAGGTAAAGTTTCACATATTTTTTTACAGGTTTTCACTTGACATTTTATATTGATCCACAAAAACACAAAAAAAAAGGGTACCATTGACAGCAACTTGTAAACAATTCCCCTGTACGAGGGGAATTTTAGTGATTCCGTCTAGTCACACCCAATCACCAATTTTGCCATACTTCCACTATCTCGAACTACTTGTCACATAATCACAGCATTATTGTCATGCTAACAAACCTTCATTTGAAGTATGAAAACTTTATAGACTTCTCAATTTCCATAATAATGTCATATCAACACACGCTATTTTCTATTCCCAAAAGGCTTTTTTAAGTTTGAGATAGACTACTTTTAACGTCGATAAGATTAAAATTAAACACAAACAAGATATTTCATATACAAATCTTTTTTTAAAAAATAATGTAAATAACACTTATAAATTATGAAAAATTTCAATTATTATTATATCATTTTATCTTGAATCCGAGATCCGCATCTTCTCAATCTTCTAAGTACATCAAACATTCTATACAAGATGCATACATGAGTTATATTTTTTCACAAAGCTCAAAGAGTCACATAGATGACATATGTGAATTAATACTACTTCTAAGTATGAATTTATATTGAATTTTTTAAGTTAATTATTGACTAATCAATTTATTCAAGTCAATAAGTCAACCTAAAAAGTACGATCTAGATTAAGAGCTTGTTTCGTAGAGATTTTAATCCAATTAAAATTAATTTTTGACCATTATATCATTATTTCTGCCTTTATTTTTGAATTGTTTTCTTACAGGTAGGATCTATTTTATCTCTAACAGTAAAAAAATCAATTATCAAAATTCCTATCAAACAACACTCATATCTAGAGGTAGAATTGATTGCAGTGATGTTTGGATTAATATATGGTAGCAAGAGGTAGTAATTGAATAAATTTAACTCAAATAAATATATTTGGAGACAATAATACTTTAGATTGCCTAATAAAAAAGTTAATAGGAAATTATAATACTTGTAAATTGAAAAGGTACAGGTTTTCAATAAAATGTGAAGTGCAGTTCAGCCAATAGCGATGGCCAAATCGATAATCTTTGAGAGGATCTCTTACTTCATTATATAAAAAGAAAAATGATCGTTTTAAAAAATTAAATTCAAATTTGATCAATGCCAGCAAAAGGTTTACATTGTTATCGTTAGGGTGCCAACCAAAGGTTAAATTAAATATAAAAAAAGTTCAAAATAAGTTGGCTCTTGGGTCACGGCACACAAACCTGCTCTTAATTCACGAGCCAACCCGCTCGATTTGTGAAAAATAAGTAGGAAACGGGTTTTTCAAGACTACAATTCATAAATCAGCTATAAAGTTTATTTATTCACATATCAAGTTTTAACATAATAATTAAATATTAAATATCTCAACTCAATTCAATTTCAAACCCTAAAAATTAGGTCCACTTGATTGGAGTGAATTTCATGGAAAATGTCGCATTTGAGGAATTCATTTTCTATTTTGGCTGTTGATACGAAAGTGGAAATGAAGTTCGAATTTCAAGATACAAACACTTGAAATATGTTTTTGGCCAATTCTATAGAAGATGCATTGCTATGATTTTGGTGATTCTTTTTTCCAACTTACATGGAATTGGTTTGCCTTTTCCATCTTTGCAATCAAATGAACTCTTGTTATTTCATTGCATTTTCACTCTCCCCGTCTTCTCACTTTCTCCACCTATCTACACCCCCCTTAATTCGGCGACGACGAGACACCCACTGTTGGAAATCAACGTCACACACGATGACGTTGATACCAATTAAAAAGGGTGGACTTCAACCAAAACTTAAAAGGATCGAAACACGATCTGGTGAGTTATGGATAGCTGCTTTGATGGAGAACTCGTGATGGGCGACTGCTTCGATGGAGAACTTGCAATTTGTAGCGGTAATTCATAGATGTAATTGGATGGCGCCTATCTGATTTTTTGAAGTTACGATTTATTAAAAAGGGCCGGTGATTAATGTATTGTTCTCGGTGTGCATCAAAATTACCATAGTCCACAACCATTGCCACTAAATTATTCCTAATTGACCATCCCTACCGCATTGGGTGGAGCACCACCTCACAGTGTCGGAGATGCCCATGACCCTGCAAGGCACCGCCACGGTTATAGGTTAGAGATTTTTTTTACTTGGCTTTTTAATTAATTCGATTGTTAGTGATTTGCTTGGTTGTTATTTGTTATGGTGGAATGTTATAGTGGTAGTTCGAGATCGAATAGAAGTGGATGTCGTGGTTTTTGTTAGTAATAGATCGGATCTGGTGGTGGTGATGTTGTGACGGTAGTGGTGACGGTAGTGGTGACGGGGTGAAGGTGGTGCCGTGGTGGCAGTGGCTGTGGTGATAGTGTCAATGGTAGTGGTATGTGATTCTAATTCAAGAGTAAAAGTGTGAATTCCATAAATATATGATTGAAAATATGTTTGAAGAAAAATAAATTTTAAAAAATGAAGACCAAGCATATTAACAAATGAATATATTTATTTTTCAAAAAATAAGTTTTATTACCATTTCATTTTTATCGTGAAATGATTCTAATCTTAATATATTAGATCGTGCTTCAAAATTACATAATCTATCATATATAATTTTTAAAATTAATTTTTATAAAGTAATATGTTTTTATGATTTTTTTTTTAAGTAAAGTAATGTTATGGAGGTTCAAACATGAGCCTCCGTTATTACGCTTGAGCCTCCGTAATTCTGGAGGCCTCCATGTTGAGCCTTCATAATCTATTATTTTTAAAAATTAATAAAAATTTAATTATTTATATTTTTTAGTACTATTATATTTCACCTTCCAAAAAAAAAATCATAAAAACATATTATTTTATAAAAAATAATTTTAAAAATTATATTTGATAGATTATGTAATTTTGAAGCACAATGTAATATATTAAAATTAGAATCATTTTATAATAAAAATGAAATGGTAATAAAAATCAATTTCTCAAAAAATAAATATATTCATTTGGTAACATGTTTGGTTTTCATTTTTTAAAATTTATTTTTCTTCAAACATATTTTTAATCATATATTTATGGAATTCACACTTTTGCTCTTGAATTAACCTCCTCAGTAAATTATTATTTAAACGGTTCGTAAACATTTTGATTGATATTATTTTTTGATCATCCAAATGGTAATTCAAATGGTTATTATATACCTCTTTTACGTACATATATAAAAATGCACGTTGAGGTTTCCGTAATTACGGAGGCTCGAGCACACATGACCCTCCATATTATGGAGGCTTTATCGCCGTGAAGCCTCCGTAATATGGAGGCCTTGCCTCCATAATATATATTTTTATTTTTTTTAATATATACTAAAATTATTATTTTTTAAATGTCGTTGGCATGATGCTGTGTGGAAAAATACTTGTCAATCACCATAAACAAAATTTTTCACAAAATGCAAAAAATAAAAATGCATAATAAATCTTCTTATTACGCTAATAAAATTACAATAATTTTTTTTTTTTTTTACAAATAGTATAAAAATCATTTTTATTTTCAACAAAAAAAGCATATTTAAGAATTAGCAATTTCGTAACCACTTTTTTTTTTTTCGTAAATACAATAATAAAAAAGGAAATACTATTGAATTAAAACATTTAATACTTAAGAAATTCAATATTAAATAAATTTTATACATTTATAACAAATTATAAATCCATATATGCAGCTTACCGTATTTGCAGGCAGTTTACCGTATTTGCAAACAACTTACCGTATTTGTACCTTACCGTATTTTGCATCTTACCGTATATACTGCCTACTGTATTTGCAACTTACCGTATTTGTAGCCTACCATATTTGCAAACAACTTACCTTATTTTCACCTTACCGCATATGTTGTCTACCATATTTGCAACTTGCTGTATTTTTATATACCGATTTTTACACTTACAAATATCGAGAATACAGAACACCATATATTCACTTACCAAACCGAATTTAAAAAAAAATTTCAGATTTTTATTTTTTCAACATAAGCATAAAATAAATATTAAATATATATGAACTACAAAATATAAATACATATGAATATGGTGCCGAGAGAAATCAGTATCGTAATTTTACGTTACAAATAATTTTTTTTTCAATTTAAATTTTTTTTTAATTCTTTTCTCTTCAAAATT